TGGCCGCCTTAATTACGATGTGTCTGAACCGACAAGGGTTCCTGTGCTCCGCGGCCTTGTGTCTCCTCCCTTCAACTTCTCCATCCATCGATCGGCGGCGCCCGAAACTTGTTATTTAGACACGTCCGTGGGCAGTTTGTGGTCAGATTGCGTGGATCAATCGCGCCATTGAACGGCCCCTAAGTGAGGCCTTGGACAAGTAATCACACACTCCTTTTCCAGACAAGACAGATGCCTCACCTGTTCCACTTGGTAGGAAACGGAGGGGATGTCCTGGATATTGCAGATGACAAACTTACAAGAGTAAATGACAATAATTAAGGGTTTACAAAAAACCTAGATTAATAAGTAGACATAAGACAGGTCGTTGGTCATGAAAAGTAGGGGGTACCGAATTGTAAAAAGAATGGTCCCCGTCTGCAATCCTCCACAACTAGGTTTGGTGCGAAATAATTCTCGTTACTCTAGTATTAAACCTCACCATCAGTGTAAAATATAACAGTGATGGCGTAGCAAGTTTCCTTGCCCTTTCTGTTGCAAGAATTGGGTTGCTGGCCCTTTGCCTAACTGGGAATGCTTTTGCCTTTTTGGCCAGCAAATATTGCCCGGACTCTCATCCATGCATGTGGTGGGTTCTTTAACGTGCTCGTCCTCACTGTGTGTGTAACAAAGCAGTTAATCTTTCCAAAAGAAGATTTGTTACACAATTGCTCTTGGTTCAGTAACCGTTGTATACGTAGTTCGGTACAATTAAGGATCCCTGATTTGAGGCCAACATGGGGCGGTATCGCACCGGTGATGGTACCATGGTTGGGGATTAAGATTCACCTGACATTTTGACCAGCTAGGAGTCGCTTGTACTATACTGCACCAGTCCTCCACAGCAGAGTGAATAATGTACTATTCTACCTGTGATAAGCCGGGCCAGAGAGGTAAGGTTGGACTTTTCCCCGCGTACCTGTCCAAACCTTTCCCCTGCAGGAGTTTGTTCCCCAAGCTGACGCAGGCAACTTTTTCTGAATTAGTTTCTTCAACAATTCTTCAACAATTCACAACAATCAATACATGGGGGTTGATTAGTTTCTTGTACTTGCTTTCGTCACACGGTGGAAGAAATGTAAAGAATTGAAGGGGGACACAATGATGACAACAGAAAAATCAATGGGGATAAGTTCTGACGGGACTATACCTCTCCACGTTATTAAAATCTGTGGAATTTAGCTCCCCATCTCCGCCCATTTTGCCGCTTTGCCCGTCAAAATTCACAATCACTGTCGTGGCAGACCCGGAATGATATGGCTGTAACGAGGTGTAGTGATGTATGGAATGATATTGTTTCCGCCTTCAAGTTAATTAAATACCTTCTTTCTTATTCCCGGAAGATCGCAACGGAAATGAAAGAACACACCTCTCTCGGAATGTGAAATTATCAGCAGGCACAAACACTTCTATATCATCATTATCATGAGAGTACGAGGCGTATCTACTCGCTCCTGGGAATTCTAATTGAATGAATAAATGATATCAATGAGGTTGGTTAAAGAAAGCCGCAAGAATCGGGCTTGAAGTGGGCTAATAAATGATCTCCGGTTTCGCTTGTGGCGATGTTTCAAGCAGGCTTCTAGTGCAACTGGATTAAATTATAGAACAGACTTGATTGATTTAACTCGAAGAAAATATATCAAGGCAATATAGCAGAAGAAAACTTCGCAGCTAGAAGACGGTTGAGGTTCGGTTGAAGGTTCGCGCAATCATATGCCCTGCACAAAATAATTCAGAAAACCAATTTTAACAATATTGACAGAATCGAAACCGCAAGGCTTTAGAGAGGGTCACAGAATCATGTCATATATCCGAGTTCAATTGGACAATATCATATGAGAGATAACGTTCCACCCTCTGGTAATATTACTGGACAAAATACTTCTTTCCCTAATGTAAAATTTCACGACAATCACGATTTTAATGATTGTCACTCTGCATTTTCAGCGACAACATACCTTCTGGATAACGTTTTAAAAATGATGCATTCCCCTGTGTCAAAACTTTCCCTAATGGTGAGACAATTCTTTACTATACTGCGCCCAATCAAGGTGATTCATACCGTGTCACCTGCTGTTGAAAAAGTTAAAGGAATTGCCTGGGAACCAGTTCCTCCTGTGATAAATGGACCACTACTGCTTCATTTGTCACTGGCAGCAAAACTGGAGTAACAAGGAACGTATATCCACTTCGGTCTGCTTTCCAGATCGGGTGAAACTTTTTTACCGCGAGTTCACTTTGTTTACACATTACTTGACATCAGTGGATCATGGAAAGACAGATTTTACTCATGATGACTAATGTCACAGGTTACAGCCGAGAAAAGTTACTTCCAATCGTATTTGTTTTAAACTTAGATATTAAACATTGCTCTAGGGCCACAGCAAAGAAAGTATTTGGATAACATCATCGCGCGCATTAATTTCTGCTGAAAGGGTCCACGGTGAAAAATACACAGCTTGTATATGGGCTATCTGTTGGATTGGTAAGAATACGACTTATCATGGGTAGGAGTAAAAACATAAGTGTTTCCAAAGAACGAAGATCTAGCTAACCTGGAGTGTGCCTAACTTATTAGCTAACCTAGGGGACCTATAGCTACCAGTATGCAGTGGAGTGGAGGATCTTCTATTTAACATAAATTGAGATGGCTTTAGGAAATCAGTGGATCTTGTTTTTTAGGTTACAGACTTACAGACACCATAAATAGGAAATAATGATAAAAATATGGTAAAAAGGTTGTACATGTCATCTACATGAAGTATTTGTTCTCGAGGATATTTCAAATTTTGGGACCGAAATGTTGCATATACAGTGTAGCTTTAATACGTGTGGTGGCAACCATTGCATATTTCTTGGTGAATGTTTTAGATGATCTATGACAGGTTCTATTACAGGTCAATCCTCTCCATAAATACCTGAATCCCCATAAATCATTGGACTTTGAGAACATTTGGTAACTGGCTGTTGTCATCATGGCCTTGTGAAAGCACTGATAAAATAAAGTTATCAAAAGTAAACCTGGTACATAGGATAAGATATCTAAGAGCTGCTGGGAGCCAAAACTAATATTGCTTTTTCCTGAACCCCAAAGCAACCTACCATCCAAAATTCATAACCAAAGCACATTCAGAGATATAGGTGTCTGCAGTTACTCAGGAAACTACCTGGTGGCCGAAAACAGAACTTCCCCTTGGCAAACAAAAAAGATACATTTTAACCACTCGAGTTGTCTTTATGCTCGCAAATAAACCAAAGGCCCTGAAAACATTGAAACTTAACTTTTCCTGCATGCAAAAAAAGGGCAAATATCACTTATCCTCAAAACAAATCTAATGTATTTGGTCTTTTAAATACTTAAATAATATATAGTCTAACTGCATTGTCATTATCATGTTTAATGTCTGATTTATATAATTTCATATTTTTTCATGCAATTTATAAGCCATTTTGCCATTATTACTGCAAAGCAAATAAGCTTGTTGCTCATCCTTTGCCAGGCATGAATACTGGGTATTGGGACACTTTTTCTTTAAATGTATAAATATCATAATCAGGACATGCTTAATCTAGGCATGTATGGACATTATAACATGCAAATTAGCCAAATATGTCATTGATAGTATAACAAACAATCACAGCTTGTGGTATGGACTTTTGAATTATAACATGTATCTCAAGTGATGATTAATACCTTTAAGGTTCAAGTTAAGCAAATTGATACATTGGAGGCATAAGTAATGAGGGACACTCACAATTTTGTTAATCAGCTTACAGTTGTTGTGCAGCACTTGCTTTTGTTTTGATTGCATGGTAATGATTGGAAAGAGTCCAATAAAGAGTGCTCTGCACCATCCTCTGGGAATGTTACATCGACTATGCAACAGCCATTCTGAACGTAAAAAGCTTACTGTCAATTCAACAAAGAAGAACGGACCTGTGCCGGAGTTTGCTAAGTTGGACCTTGCAGTGCACCGAGAACGGATGACTGAATGAATTAATCACCAGAAATCCAGACCTGCCAAGAAGCAGCCAAACATGGACTCTCCCATGCCATACCTTGCCAGAGTTCTTGATATACAAATCTGAATATTACTTGATATGGAAATCTGGCTACCTGGCTCAGCATTTGAACAAGATGTTTACTTCCGTCCCTCAGGTTGTTGAGAACCTTTTCCTATGGCTGTAAATCATATCTAAAGTAATAAAACACTTAGTCGTTTTGGCAATTGTAGCAATATCAGCCAGATTTCAACTTCATGTGTGTTTCCTTTATGGGTAGTAGCTGAGTTTAGGCTCTCTAGCAGTTTTCTTAGGAACTGCAGGGGCGTTTTATCTGAAGGCTATCTGAAATTACATATGTAAATTGGTTTGAGAGAATTGTTAATGAATGTCATAGAAATAATGATCTAGTTTACATATTGAATGAGAAAAATTGCATCATCATTAAATATTCAAACCTAATTTGCATAATTAGGAACGCTCTGATTGCCTCCAAAGGCTAGAAATTCAATATTTGTAACTTTGGAAGATAAATCCATATTTTATACTTATCAGAACCTTTTTTGAATATTTCAAATAGTTAATGAGCATCGGCTGCAACACCTCATTGGCTAATGGTGGTAAGTTCATACTTATGACATCGTACTTACTTAGAAGTGGTAATTTTAAGTCCATGTTTAAGTAAAAATGATGCAATTTCCAAATTCCATACTTCAAAAGATAATATTCAGAAATAAAATCTTAACTGCTGAAAAATCTGTTCTAGAATTACTACTTTGCTCTGGTAAAAAAACACCAAAGGCCTGTTACAATTTTACTAACTTCTGTTTAGCCTAATGCAACTTTCCAGAACACCCATAACATTTCAAAAACCCTTAACATATTCTTGTACTTGCGTGTGTGTAATTGTGTCTACCGGTATAAACATTCACAGCAAAAATCACCAGGACAAGAGATTTCACAAAACATGGACTTATTATTTCCAACTTGAGTTTTCAGAAGCCATATTCAACAGAGAACTGTCATCACTTTACATCATTTCACTTGGTTATAAGTCCGACGAACTCGCCGGAGGAGGCTCTGATCACAAATGTCTTACAAGAATCAAAAAGTAGAGTATAAAACTGCACGACACCATAGCTTTGAACACACAGTGATACACGAGTTGAACAAACACAGGGATGTGGCAATTTACAAGCAACGATCAGGGTGAGATATACATGGTTAATAGTGACGTTGGGTCTGGGGTCTGTTGTCCTGACTGTGAGAACAGTGGAACTAATCTGTGAAACTTACAGTAGGATCGTTCCTGTACTGTTTTCTTAAGTCATATCCATTTGATGACAGGGTGGTGAGAGTTTCTTAAAATAGTTGGTCATTACTGAATCAGCTGGGATTTATTTACTTAATGATATAAACAGTCAACACAAGAGCCCCACAAACCCTCAGTACAGAGTGTGAACAACAACAACAGGTGATTGTAGTCTTCCATATTGGCCAATATTGGCCAAATTCTGGGGAGTCAAAAATTCATGTGTTCTGTGTCAAAAAATTCACTTCGTTTTGGCACTCTACCTGACACAACCATTAAAAACAGTCTGTATTAATAATTAAAAGCTTAATAAAAATTAACCAGCAGGTGCTGAAAATCTGGAATTCCATGATTGTTCAAAAAACATACTTCTATATAATATCACTAAAACCTGCCCATGGCTTATGCATGATGTGCCATGGCAGTGATTGTTCAACAAAAGCAACAATATTGGACCTTGTCGGCTTCAATGTGTGTACCATACTAGAAGTTGCACCAAAACTATCTACGATCTAAACTGAGCGCATGTCATTGGTGGGTAATTTCCACAGCCTTCTTAAGTAGAGGCAACAGCTGCTGTAGATGTGAATCATGTTTCACTTTATCTACAACCTGATTTAATTCAAAGACAACAAATGTTTAACCTGCAAAACTACATTACCAGAAATCTACCTCTGAATATTGCACAAAGAGGCCTGTATTTCACAAGGTGTTTTGGATTATGGCTTGCGATAAAAATGACCATGTGTCACATTTAAAAAGTTACAAGTAAAACACCTGTACAATTTTAACTTAAACATGTACAAAAATAAAACATTTCTTTCATGTAAAATGTAAATGTGAGATATTGGTGATGTAATAATAAAGATCAATTATACTGGTATTACTAACTGATTGCCATGAACACAACAAAAGCTAATTGTAACATAAATAGCTTAATATACAATAAATATTACACATATTTGATTTTGAATGCTTACTGTGACATGTTTGCGTATACTTTTGTCTGGGAGAGACATGACAACAACGTTCCAACAGCATAAAACACTGACTAAACAATGTAGAGTTAGTAGAACTACAGTACAACAGCTGTATTTGTAGATACAATGAACAACATTTAAAAACAGTTACCCTTTCATGAAACATAGCTAGTAGTTGCTACATCTACCTTATATATAGAGAGAGTGCAAAGGCAAAATATTAGTCCTGTGCCAAAAGGCTATATTACATGGTTACAAATGTAGTAAAGTCCACAAAGGTGCAAATATCTAAATATACAAGTCTGCTCTTGTCTACATGGCTATACTGGGCTTAGTTTTTCACACACAGATATTCAAACTCACTTCTAACAGAGTTTGTTGAAATGTCAACTGGACAGAGGGAAAAAACCAGTTTTGTCTTTGTGGCCATTTACCTCCTATACTATTGCTACATAACACTACTAAATACAAGTCATCATATCCAATAAGTAACTTCTCTATTATCTAATACTAGCCTCATAAATCAGAAATTAACAACAAAAATCCTTACCAAATGCACCATAATGAGTGATAATATTGACATGGAATGATACCGAAATTTAGAATATGAGAAGGTTCAGGAATGATAATATGTAGAGATTTTTTTGGAATGATATGGCTTCCATATGAAATATGAGGTATTCATGCCTTCAATGGACGGTTTTCTAAGGGACGGACATAAAATCTAAATGACACTGATGAGATACACAACTCAAGTGTACAAATAGTAGCACGTACCGTTGACAACCTTGTAGAGTAATATGAACGACTTAGATCTGTACAGTAAATTGTCTCCATTTTCTTGGTGTTCCCTGGAGTTGTCCACCATTTTTTTAACATCCTGACTCAGTACATGTCCCCTTCTATTGCCACTTAACAAGGATTGTGCTTGCCCTGTACTATATGGGCCTAGAGAATGACTTACATTCTGGTTTTCCTGCACAGTAGGTACCTCCTAACTCACTGAGGTGTTATTTCACCCAAAACCAAATTCACGCAACGTTTAGTACAGAAATAAAGTTATTTTGGATGCTTCAAAGGTCAAGCAATTAGGATAACTTTCAAAAACAGTTTTTGGTTGTAAGATATTTGGTATTACATCTCTTTCCTGGTTGGGTGCAAGTTGACCAGCAGTTCTAGAGTTAGGATAAGCTTGTGTGTTGTAGAGTGGAATCTGGTGAGTTGTGTCATCAGGACTTGCAAGTGGCCATCTTCATAGCTGCTTTTTGGAGAATCATGTGATAGAGTTGTGTGTCTATGGTAAGATGAAGGGGGAATGTGTACAGTCCGAGTGAATGGCTAATAGATGCTGTAGACCCTCCTCTTCTCATAGTGCCAGACCTGCTGTGGAGTGAAGCATGGTACAGTCAGTAACTTCATTTTCGTTTACAGTCATACATTTCACTCAAGTCTTGGGAAGTAAATTGTTAAGACTGGATAAAAGGTACTTAAAATGTCTCACAATAAAATAGTGTAAAACAACCTAATTGCACTGAAAATAAACCTATTTATATCAGGTACGACACATCATACTCTGGTAACAGAATCTCATGGCCAGTCCAGCCTTACTCACTTGCAGTGCATATAAATCATTGTAAGTTGACATGCAATTAAACATTATAAATAATATTCATACAAAGATAGAGGAAACAGCAGCCAGCAGTGACACAGAGTGGATGAGTACTCATTTCTGTTACATGTCTTGAATCATTTTTTAAAAAATTTTTGTTCCGTGGTGCCATTGATATAAGCCACTGTGTACTGTATTGCTTTGAATGTTGCAATAAAAAAAGCAGTACCCGTGACAACCAACAACAAAATGAGGTCTTTAATATAGAACTGCTTTTAATCAATTCTGAACTATGATCAAATGATAAGGGTTTGGAGATTTTCGTCAAGAAACCTGAGGGAAGATTACACCCCTGACACTGATACTGACACCGCTATGTTCCAACAACTTAACCTATGTTCCACAACAATAACCCAACTATATGTTAAAATGTTGTGGTGTTGGAACATAGGGTTGTAAGAACATAGGGCAGTTTCTATTTAGTATTGTATACTATGTAGGTAAAAAAAATCACAATCTGCAGCTGGCAAACGCATCAAACCTGTCACTAATGGTTAATTTGAGAAGTTGCCCTTCAGTTAGCACAGGGGAGCAGAATTGTTTACACAACATCATATGGTCCAATGTTGAAAAGTCTTCTTTCACAAGATGGCAGAAGGGCACCATATCAATAATGTTTTCTTCTCATCTGTAAATGTCAAAAATGTGTCATCTGATATCCTTCTATTGGACTGGATGGTCCTGTAGATTTTTCCAACAGATTATGGAGGAAGCCTGGAACAAACATTTTCTTTGGCAGGCTGGGTGAGGAATGGCAGGTATGCCAGCTGACAGAGGAGCTTGAGCTCCCCCAGCTGCCTGTCAAACTGCAGGGCTGGGCTGCCTGCATGCCGCTCACGCAAATCAATACCTCTCATCTTTATAAGAATCCCGGGTCAAAGTTCGGCAAGCTCCAGTAAATAAGACAGGGTGTTTTCAAAGTGCCGCCTGCCCGATTGGTTCGACAAACCTGCTCAGAATTTCATATTTCTGCCTTATTAAGGCGGTCGGGATAACGCCACCTGACAGAGTCATGAATTTCCACTGAGAATGTACTTGCTGAAGCTGCCATTTGGCAGATGAGTGAAATGAGCTGTTACCTGCATGCAGGAGCTTGAGTAGGAAAGTGGGCTGAGCCAGCCGGTCTCCTGGGCCTAATATTTCTGCCTTATTGGCCTCCTGTGCACAATTTTTCTAATATATCATCCCTAATGATATTGCGTTATGGCCACAATGGGTAGGGAATGTTATCAACAATAGCTCTTCCTAAAACATCATTGGCCAGGCCAGCCCATCTCCAGTGCGGTTCGCTCACTCCTTGACAAACGTCCATTAATTGCTCCATTGAAGGTACACAATTGGGGAGATAGTGGAATTATTCCATCTCGTGTTGTCGGTTGCCCCATTACAGATCAAGTGGATATTTGTACTCGACTGGAAATGCCCTCTTCTCTCCAACTAACTTCGTTTTCCATCTTGTCTTCTTTCATCTTCAAGGTAATCAGTGCAAGATCAAAATTCCCCATCAGTTCTCATGCAGATGAGAGAGATTGATCACCAATAAAGCCCCTTCCATCTGCTTGGACCGTCTCAAATCGATCCCTGCTATTTTTAGGTCAGGCCGGGGTTTGTCTTTACTGTGGCAAAAGTGCCAAAATTTGATGAGCTAAAAATGCACAGATTAGGGTCTCCAAGCCATGTCCTTAATTTTGTCAAGTAGGGACTAAAGAAAAGAATTGATTGCTGCAAGAAAGCATAATGACATACAAGTCTTCCCTTCCATGTTCAACAACAGGTTAATGATGGTACTTAGCCCTGTTCTGCCGAAGTAATGGTGGCTATTGGCACACTGTGATTGTATCTAATGGATGGTTGAAGATGAACTGATCATGCTTCAAAGCCTACCGGTTTGTGTTTGATAAGATGTGGTAACAGCAGGGAAAACGGTAGTTGATCTGTCTCTTCAGGAAATGTACACGTCATTAGTTCAATGAATATTATGGGGACACTTGGCAGTAGTGTGAATTTGACTGTCCGGAACTTTATTGGACTACCTAATCTTAATCTGCTGCACTACATTATCAGGCAGCTTTATGAGTTAGAGCAGGTCTGTCTGTATCTGTATAACTGGTATAACAACCATTCAATGTAACATACCAGGAAATGTACATATTAGTCCAATGGGGACACATGTTGGCAGTGTGAAACTTAACAGTGACTTTAACTGTCCTATACTTTGGACTAACTACTGTGAATCTTAAATTGTTCACTGTGGTTTAATTTTCATGGTGGTTCATAGTTAGGCAAACTTTGTTTGTAAACAGGAAAAAGATACAAACAGGTGGCCACAGGTCTCTAGATGGCAGGCTTTGCGTTGTATATAAGATTATGTTAATTTGTTTGGAATATATGGAAAATATATTTGACCTAACAATTGACCCAATGATCTAACCATCATCTAAATTAATTTGGTTATTATCAGCATAACATTAGTTATGATTAACTAATTGTATTCTGCGCATATTGTTTTTTCCTTGGTGAAATGTGAGAACATACAATGTATTGAAAACATGTCTAGCTTCCTTTAAAAAAACTGAAAAAGTACAAATTTTTTTTGACATTTTGTGTCTGGTACTGTCAGAATCCATTGACAGCTAGGGAGTCTGGTCCAAAGAGAAAACAATAAAAAGAAATTTAATATTCCTCACTACAGCCACTCTTTTCTAACAGAACTTTTTAATTAAACCTGTTTCTTTGTACAGGTAAGTCAGTTAACTCAGAAGAAAAGTTGACATGTTATATCTGGTATGATTCACTGTGTGTCACTGCAGACATGCACATCCACAAGTTTTAAAATGGTAAATGAAGAGAAAATGAAGAAGAGTGCTCACTTTTTAGCAGACGGCTGATGGGATGGTGGGAGTCCACCCACCTTGCAAGCCAGTTCCATTCGAACTTGCTCCAGCAGGGGACGGACTGGACTGGGGACGGACAACGGGCGCAAACGCACTTTTCTGTTTGACAGCCGAGATCATGTTGGCTGGCGAGAAAGAGAAAATCCCTGGCGTACTTGCGTTTGTGGCCAGACTGCTTGGGGTAGGGGGCATCGTGGGTGAAGAGGGAACTATGGCGGAAAGGGGAACAAAGAAAATGGAAGAGGCATAAGTATATAGCTGTAAAGCAAATGGGAGTTGATTAATGCTGAACAAATAGTAAAAGAAAAGCAAAACGTAAAAGTAAAATGCAAGGCTACACTCTACCTTTAAGTGGCATGCATTATTGCTTTGTGGTAACAAGCATTATCAAATGGACAAAAATGATTTCACCACCCACGTGATGCCCCACCCTTTACCCCACTAATTATTGTTACAAGGCAACATCTTGCTATAACAGCTAAAGGTTAAAATTTGGTTGTCTCTCATGTTTTGTATTAGATAAGGCCACACCATCTTAATTTGTTGGTTCCAAAAATTGCTTGAATGAAAAATCCAAATGAAAACAAAATCCTGAGTACCAGGTTTAAGTTTTGTTACACTCAGTTTTATAGACTGAATAGTCATATTCGAGTTTTAATCCCTGCCTTCTGCTTTCTTGTGACCGTTTGCTTTATTATGGCTGCTTGCTTTATTTCTGTCTAAAAATGTCCCAGAACCAAGAAAATTAATTGGTGTGGCCAAATCAGATGATCAATGCAGTACACAAAATTGAAAGAGTACGGAAAGGACTGTTCATTGCACATTTGGGATCAGTGAAAAGAGGTGCAAACTGGGAAAGGTCAAAGGACACACCTAGGGGATACTTACTGGTGGAACCATTGAGGAACCCTGGAGAAGACGGGACGGGCATGTTGGACAGATTGCCGCTGCTGCCGTAACCATTTAGCCCAGATGCTGATGTAGAGTACGAGCTGATGCTACCGTTGGTACTGTGCGGTGTGCTCGCTCCATAACCGCGGGGAGAGACACTGTTACTCTGCCTGGAGTAGCCTGTTGTATGTGCACAGAATCACTGTTAAATACTAATTCTAGTACTGCCATTGTAGAACTACTAGTTACCAAGGTCAGCTTAGAGCTGTTGCTGTGCAAAAATTATGTAGCCTAAAACATCATGGATTTTAAATAGTTAAGTGACCTACAATTGGGATTTGATCTTGATATTTGTGAAAATTGAGGATTTAGGCATTAGCTGAGTTCTGGAATTTTTGTGGAAATATGATGTCATGTACTTTGAAACCATCTCTGATGTGGTCTGCTCCTATGCTTGGACATTATTGAACACAGAACACAAAACTTCTGTAAACAGTTTGCATTTTCCAAAATTATCTGCTAAAAAGGAAAATGGAACATCACTTGCCATGGTTTGTCTGCTCTGCACAATCCTCTTTCAGACCCGAGTAAGTGAAGACTGGAACAAAACCTGAAGGCCAAAAAAAAAAAGCCAGTTATAACATGATAATTAGCTTTAAACAACAAACATAATATGAGACTAATCTAGCTTACTTAAGACTAATATGTATAGTAGTAGTATGGGGTTTTTCTAAATATTGTCCTATATGTACAATGTATGGGTTGTCATGTGTCAATATGTTCTTATATTTATTACTAGTATTTCAATCTATAGACAGAAATCCTACAATAGTACTTTTGTAGATTATGGTCTTGTACATGTACAGGGTAAATTTATGCATATCAAAATATTTGGACATATAATCAAAAAGCGTAACATAAACTGGTAGTAGACATTTGTAACCACAATGGCAATTTCTCCTCTCTACTTTGAAGAAGTTGAAGTTGGATTTAATAATGGCATATTGTACACTGCAGGCAGTAGGACCATCTCTTTGTCTGTGTTGGATGACTAACCATACATTAGCAACAATGACAGGCCTCTATGTTATTACTCATGTGTCTGGTGTTATTACAGCTGGGTAGAGGCAGGTGGGGCCACAACCAGACTACATGCCCCTATTAATGAATAAAACAACATGAAATAAGCCAGCTCAATAAAGCTTTAATTTCTGAACACAAAGTTTGCCCAAAAATGAGAGTTTCATTGTTGTCACAGCACAATGAACCATCTGTTATCTGGAGAAAAGTTAAAATGGAATGTTGGTTTTTGCAATTTTAAAATTGTGTTCTTGTAAGCATTTTTACATTAGTAATTGTGTTAAGTAGTTTTCATCCAGGAGTATTTTTGTCATCTCAATCATATTTTCATAGGTGTGTTTCATCTGTAACCATCCTTGTGACATGCCTGGTAGGCATGTCACAAAACTTCTCAGAAATACACCTTGCTTGGTTCTCTTTAAAGCTCTATCTTCCACGATGAAGATATTTTTGACCCCCATTTCCCACATGAAGATAAGATACCCCTTTCAAGCCTTGTCATGGCACTCTGCAACCAAGACAGGTCTAAGCTAACTTGTAAAGCAAAGAGACTCTGCCTCCCTTTTAGGGATGCAATGGCAATATGCATGTTACTATGATTTCCCTGTAATAAAGGAAATACATGGCCATGTGGTGCTTTATTATGCCATTAAGTCCACTCTTGTTGCAGAGGTATCAGTGAATATTCACATGTTGACCTCCATAAAATGGGTGTCAGAGGCAGGCTGGCGTTCTTCCCTGTTCTGCCTGGAATGGAATCATAACTCTAACACACCATGATGATATTACTCAACTTCCTTATCTCCCTTGAAATGACTCAATGTTGTGCATAAAAAGCAAATCCCCCTGGGATCCTGCTTCTGACAGAGGAAACGCATTTTGATTGAAACTGCCTGGGGCTGATTTCCATTTAGCAGCATTTATCGGCAGGAAAGAAAATGGGGTTAAAATGGCCAAATGTTAATAAAAAACAGCAAACGTCATTTCACAGGGCTGACTAGCCAGAGTAGTTGCCAGAGGGGGATTTTCCATGTTGACAAAGCTAGTTTTACATGTTTGAGATAGGGTATCAGCCTTCGCAAAGGGTAGATAATATCATGCTTAATTTTGCAACTTACTGGTTGAATGACGGCCGCCGAGTTCAAACAAAGTGCCTGCCAATGCAGAAAATAATGGATCTGAAGCAACTACTTGCACACAGCTTGCATTAAAATCAGATAAGGCTCCTATTTTTCCAGGGCTCTTTAATCTGGCAGAAACAGGCTTGGAGCAGCCCCTCTCCCCACTCAGGGAATTACAGATTAGGCATGGATGGGCGCTGACAAAGAGAAAATGAATTCAATAATTTCTGTTTGTTTTCTAGATAACGTTATGAAATAAAACCATCTCTCTAAGCATTTATACATTGGCCTTCATCATGCAAAACTGAAAAAAAAACCCAAAACAACGACTTGCTTAATGCACAAAAGTGATACAACATATGATGTGTTAGAGGACAATTGCTACCAGTGATCTTTGTGACATAAAGATTTGTCATTTCTTACACACAGCCATGAGGCACCATACCACATTTGCCTCATAGCTGAACTCTGTTGTGACCTTTGAAACTAAAATAAACATGATTTTTGGAACAGGTGGAACACGGATTTAAGTATAGGCCATAGGTATACATCTATCTGTGGTTGTTAAAATTGTCATCTTTGGGATGTAATTTACGCATCTTTAAATTGAAAATTGTGTCCACTAATGTTTTACTTTGTGCAGGTACAGGTCTGGATTTGTAAATAATAATTTTAAGGGAACAGGTACACTAGGTGTTCAGGTTTGGACCTGTACCTACATGTAAGCTAAATAATTTAACAGCTATACATTGTAGGTAGAGGTACAAGTATTAGGCGCAAAGTCCTATTCACAGCTCATCTGCCTAAACTCTTGGTTTTTGCCAAAGTCCGGGCCTTTTAGCATTTATATTATTAGTTTTGCTTTAAAGAATCAAAACAGGATCCTGGACACAAAATAACAGAGATGCATCCCTTCTAACATATATGTCATACAATGTGCTTGCAATGGCTGGCAGTACCTTGTTCCTTCTAGAAAATTTGGGCCGAATGTAAAAATAGCTCCTGTGTCATATACAGAATTGTTAGTTTGCCACTACTCTACATGAGCCCCACTTACGGTGTGGGCCTGCCACAGGGTAGGTTTATAATAGCTTCACCCTCACCTTCAAGCAATATCTGACAATGCCTCCGAACACTTCCAAGACACAGAGGAATTTCACTTCACCTTCACCTTTATTAATCCGTGCAATATATGGCAATGCCCGAGAACACTTCCAAACACACAAACCAAAAAGCTGCAGATGATGCCCTTACTGCCTCATTGTAATATCCTTATCAAAAGGCATCTGGGACAGCTATAGAGGGAAAGCTACTGCTGTTCCAATATTGTATGATATGGGTTTAGCTAACGGCCACTTGCTCTGAATAATAATTCTCTGGAAAAACACTCAACTTGGTCCCTGGGTCCTTGTTGACTATTTTCTGGTAACCAGAAATCAGCAGGAAGATGCAAACTTGATAACTGGGTTTGACAGGTAATTATAACCTAATAATGTTGCTGATCCAACATCGATATGTTCATCATGATTTGAGCCGGGGGAGATAACAACAAGGTCGGTATCCGACTCCCCTACGAGCCTCTTAGAGATAGGATCTCCGCCCCATTCAAACGCCTCCTCCATAATATTGATCCATTCCCCGACAATGGTATTTGGTGTTAGTGGTAAATAAAAGATTATTCTTAGTTTATTGACATTCCTGGTGCCACACTTGAACAGGAAAAATCTGATCAATTAGACCAGCCTTTTCCAGTCAGGATAACAAGCACCATTGAGATGTAATGTGTAGGTTTAACTATGAAGAGTTTCCAATAAGACCATTATCCCTGATATCCTATCATTTTTGATTTAAAATAAAAGGTAAAACTACATACAGATATCCTTACCAAGTACAGCAAGCATACTTGTTTTAAACATTCAACAGTTTCAAAGGCATTCCAATCCAACTAATCAGTCAAACACTTTGCTAGACTAAGCCCAAAGCAGTATTCTCAAGTATTGGCAGAGCAGGTTAGGTAGATCGGAGTGACAACATTAACAGGAAACCAAGTCCTCTTGGAAACTTTAAGATAATAGACTCACTGGTGGCACATTTTGATTCAATGTATTTATTTGTACATCCTAGAAGAAAGAGCTGTTTCATTTGAACTTCAGCCCAAATTAGCACAATGTGAAAGATATGGCTACAAGTGAGCTTCAAACAAGAGAGTAGATATGAGAAGGCATTTTTGCTCACCCTGAACTTGGCCATTTCCGTTGGTAGAGGAGTTGTCGGGCACACTCACAGCTAACTGGTTACCAAATGAGTTCATTCCCATCATGCCCCCTGCTCCCACTGAGTTGTTGACTGCAGGGGACCTCGGGCCTGTGAGGGCTGGGAGGTTTGGGTTGCGAGGCATACTGTAGATGGCTTCTGCCAAATCTGCTGCACGCTTCAGGATGATTTCCTGTACAAGTTTGAAACAACAATGAAACATTTTCATCAACTACATAATACATGATATTGGCACAATTATTTCTTTACTATCTTCTACATTTCAGGTACAAACAATGAAAAAAGAGCACACTACTTTTCACAAGGTCTAACTAGAGGCCAAAAACAATTACAACTAATGCCTGCTATTGCCACTTCAGGATGTACCTCCACAAGTCACAGCCAAGCTAGCTTGGGGACTAAGGTGCTAACTCAAGAGGCAAACAGACCATGAATATCACACACATTCTAGATAGTGATCATTCACTGTTGTTCAAGTTCAGCAGACCTGCCTCCCTATGGGGTTGCCACATTCTAATTATGGACCCAAAATGCTGTTTTCTGCTTGAGGCATTGTAAAATTTCCATCAAATCCCTACGGTGATGTTTAGCTTCTGCAGGTTGATGTGAAATAGGAAAGAGAATGACAGGGCCCCAGCCGCAATTCTTCATTGTAATAAGGAGGACATGACGGCTTGGGCCGGCTTCAGCCAAGTTAGGCTATCATCTCCTCAATTTTACCACAGGAGATTGGTCGTCAATAGTGGTTGATATGCATAGAATATGGCAGCCATATTGGGTTTAATATAACCCATGACCTTCAGGCGGTGCACCGTACGCTGCTGGCTTGCTGGGCCCATTTGTCTTCCACCCTTACAAGTACGTCAATACGCAATGTTCCATTTCTGTAGAGCGCTGGAAGATGGATACTGCCTGCGCTATATGAAGATATATGGGGCGCTGTCACAATCCACGCGATGACAAATGACAGAGGAGGGAAGGGAAGGAAAGCCTGGGCAATTTTTTTGCTAGATTAAACGCCGATAAGTACAAGAGCTCAGGGATTACTTCAGTGATTTTGCAACATTTAACCAACATAATCTTATTTGCACTGCTCCTAGCCTTGTTAACATCCCCAAAACATGCGCCATTACAAAGGGCTTAGAGCTGCTAGTGCTAATCGTTCACAAAGCTAATTTTGTGATTTTGAGTGTGAATATTAGACTGCACATGGAAATGAAAGATACTTTCGGAATTAACTAGGCCATGTGGGGCAGGGCATTATGTTCCTAGTCTCTGACAAAATGGGTATTCCTCTCTGAAATAATATGTGTGTATTAGGTCAGCTAGGGCATCGCCAGTTTATGGCCCAATTGTAATCTGCTTCCTGAAGCATTAGAACAAGATGGGTGTACCTGAAAAGTATCCATCACAGCATCAAATTACAGCACGGCATAAAGCATCCAATCTCTACGTTGACAACTTTATCTCCCAAACTGGCGTCAGTTGGTCAATGGATCAACTGTGCCACCCTGAACGAGGCAGGTGGAATGCTCACATATGGCACCAAAATTATTGAAATAATTTCCTTTCTTTCAAAGATATGGGCCATACAAAAAATATTTTCCATTCCAACAATCATTTATTCATAGAAATGGGCCCTCATGGTAGAAACCTATCAAGGTAGGGGTCACCGTTAGGTCAGGGGTCACCTCGCTTGGTCGTTTGCTGATGGGCACGAGCTGATGCAAAGGAAGCCGCTGCAGCTGACCTGACATTTCTCAGCTTCAAAGGTGGTGTAAGATATGTCAAGTGTATCATTGCTTCGTCACCACTATTGTTCCACTAGCACTGTTTCCAGCTAAAGCTGCAGTCTCTTCCCCAATCTTCGGCTTAATTTTTCACACCATTTCTCCCTGCTGGTATGAGAAATGTGATGCCGTCTAATTCCTCACTATTAGTGGCTGACCACAACATGTCAACTGTATCATTGCCCCATCATGGTTACTGACCAATAAGAGCGAATGTAAAGTGGGCCGTTCTATAAATCTGAGGGGATTTTATCATTTCTTGTAGTAGCACAGATTAAGTGTCCTTGCACATTTCACTTCACAAAGTCATACACTTTTCTTTGTATGTAAGAACGACAACTCTTTATACTTTTCTTACAACAACACCACTGATTGGATGCACTGAATCAAGTAGCCAAATCCCAACGCAGCACTATTTTACCTTTTTGCTTACGGTTAAGGAGACTTCTGCTGTAACCACTACAAATTTGGTGCATGAATGAGATTATAGAAGAGAGGGGGTTAACTATAATCTGATTACAGTCACAGCCATCTTGTCCAAACTTAGCATCCCGGAAACCCAAACAGTACAGAGTCTACAGGCATATCTATTTGTTGCTGGTAAGTAGACAGAGAGCACAGTGTGTGTGCAGATCACCGTGAAGATGGTTCACAGACACAAGGCTAGCTGTCAGCTTTGTGATCCATGCTCTCCCATTAAGGCGGATGGCCGGGACGTTGGGAGATAATAACATTTATTTTGGTTGCAATTTGAGGGCTGTATTTTTTATAGACCTAGGATCTAATGGCCCTATCCACAGTGCTGAATTCTGGGCTGTTTATACCTCCCAATGCCTTCTGGGACCAATTCCAGCAGCGCTTCCATCAATGACACAGGATTTGGACTGTTCATGGCCATTAGGGCAAGCTTAACCTATTTTCCAATTGTGCACCATGTCTTGTTATTAAAGTCATTCTGTGTGAAATGACAGTCATAATCAGCCTGTTCGAAACTCGGAACCCACGCGAAAGTGAGAAAGTGTTTTCTACCACTTTTTCACACTTCCTTCAAAGATATCATGATCAACGAGAATTCATCCACTCTTTTTTATTTCACTACATGGTGCTTCATCCACCTTATACTACTAAATGTCCACAAAGGCAGTGAATGCCTGGCTACACATAAGGATATTTACGCATTTTACAACCCTGCA